TAGTTTTCTTTTTGCTTCAGTTGCCAGTGCATAGAATCATGTTTTCATTGTCCCTCTGTGCTGATCCAGTAACAGGGATTTGGTGCCATCTTGGCACTCTTCTGCTTCTGCGGTTGGAGTGTGTGTGGTCAGTGTTGGCCAGCAGGGAAATGGGGTGTAGAGAAAAACCGTATTTGTGCCAGCGGCATGCTAAGGGTTAATCTTCTACTGGGTCACAGGGCAAGATGGGAGAGGATGTAATCCTTTTAGCTTGGAGCATGTCTGCTGTGCGCGTGTGTGTGTGTGTGCACTGCACGTGTGTGCGTGGCGTGTGTGAAAGTCTAATACATAATCTAGTTCAGAGAAAGATTATCAACAAGATATAATAGGGCACAGAAAAAGATAAAAAAAAACAGGAGTTATGGACCACAGACAGCACAATATGTGGAAAATTATAATGGATATTTGTGTAATAACACATGCAATCAAACCAACAACCGAATCAAAAATGGCACTTATCTTCCAGTTGATGTGCTTGTTAAGTTGATTGGATGGGGTGTTTTGTATTATGTCCTTTCAAAAGTGCCATTTTATAAAAAGTAACAATTGGACAGAATCATAGTCATTCTATAGCTCTGTTGCAAAAACCTTCCCTAGTGCCTACATAGACAGCATACTGTAGGCAGCAACATGTTCAGCAACAGAGGTGGACAGAGGAAGTACACACTTACTTGGGTGAAAGTACAGATACTATTGATCAAGTATTACTCCGTTAGAAGTAAAAGTTTTAAAGATTTTTACTGAAGTAAAAGTACTTGTGTATCAAAAGTACAAAGTAAATGTCAATCAATGCATTTTTATATTATTGTTGTATATCATCTTGAAGGCCTCTGAAGCAACCTAGTGAATACACTGACCAGTTTGTAGTTTTGTAGTGTGGAGATTTTAGCATGTCACGAAACCTATAGAAATTAAACGACTGAATTGATTTAAAAAAAGACAACCGTAATCATCTATTATGGCTATTTTTCGCATCCAAGACCACGTCCTATCAACTTTAATGGGGAAATCCTGAAATCTCAAAAACTGCCTGCTGAATTTATTCAAGTAACATTTCAAATATGTTTTGACACAATGCCTTTACCAATCTGTGATTGGCTCCTTAATTTAGAAGGCAGGACTTATTCCTCCGTCCTTACTGCATGTTGAACTTTCTTCCATTCATGTGTAATATGAGTGCACAGTCTTTGTAATATCTAAAGTAGCATCATCACTCTTGCCAAAGGATGTGGGGAGACATTAGCATAGCTTGATGGGTTAAACAGAAATATTTGTTGCAGAAACACGCTCATAAAAATACACACAAATATTGGGTAAATGTTTCTTTTTTGTTGTAAGATTGACATTTTTCATTGATATTTTTTTGTACTGAATGAACTTGATTTATTTTTTGTTTATATTTAACGTTTCTTTGTCCACCATCTTGGATTTTTTTTTTTTTTTTTGAGTTTGTCATTTTTAACTAAGCTGCACATCTGGGAATTGACCACTCTGTGAAAAAGTGCCATTCTCTCTAGAATTGACCACAATAAGGTTTATTTTATGCCGCCTATCTTGGCTAGAAAAACTCCCATGTCATCCAAGATATCCATGTCTTTCTTTCTTCAGTCGAAAAGAAATTAAGGTTTTTGATGAAAAAATTCCAGGATTTTTCTCCATATAATGCACTTTACTGGGAACCAAACGGTTCAAGGTACAACTGACAGTTTCAGTGCAAACTGCTTAGAGGGCTTTAAACGATTCCAGACGATGAATAAGGGTCTTATCAAGTGAAACGATCTCTCATTTAAAAAATAAATAACAAAGTTTAAATTTTATGAGCTCAAATGCTCGCCTTGCTCTGTTTTGTGATCCATGTTCGTGACTCTCCTGTTTGAACTCGTTCATCAAAATGAACAAATCTTTTTTTGAGTCATTTGGTTCATTCAACCAACGAAATGAATGAATTGACTTGGAAAAAGATTTGTTCATTTTCATCAAAAATCTTAATTTCTTTTCGCCTGAAGAAAGAATGACATGGACATCTTGGATGACATGGGGGTGAATAAATTATCAGCAAAAGTTTTTTTTAAAGTGAACTACTCCTTTAAGCATGTCGACTTAGACCGTGTTAATATTTGCAGGCTGACTCAAGCTGATGTGTTTATTGCAGAGAGCTGGGCGAATGAAAGCTGACAGTATTACTCTGTGAAAAAAAACCGCTGTCCATGCCGGTTGCACTAACATCATATGAGTTTTGTAATGTTTATCTACTGGCCGCGTACATAGTACAGTTGTCACTCCACGTCTGAGTGCTTAAGTAATGACATTGATTCTAGGGACGAAGTTCAGAAGTGGCAGGTTTGGATGTGATGGTTGTAACAAGGTTCAGGGAAGAAGGAGGTAGGAACCGGATAATAATAATAAAATAAAACTTTATTTAAATAAAATAAACAAACAAATTACCTGCCAGCAGCCCCTCGCGGACGACTGCTGGCTACCCAAAATAAAACATACATACCGGCCAGCAGCCCCTCACGGACGACTGCTGGCTTACCAAATAAAATATAAAATACAAATAAAAGCAGGCCTGTTCCTCTCTCGATCATCCACTCCGTCGCTCCCCCTTTATGGCTCCGCTCCTTCGTGAGAGATGCGAGACCGGTGTGCTTCACATGTGCTGCTCATTAGCAATCGCACCACCGGCCTCGCGACTTTCTCTCACGTCCCTCGGCCGTCCTGCTCACCACAATGGTGTTTTATGTACTGTACGTGGTGACTGCAGAGTAATCACTTCAAGTTCATTTTAGGACATGGCTTGTCTGAGACCTTTGAGATGGCCCTGATATTTACATGATTATTTTTTGTCTTGTTGTCTGGATTAAAGACAAGATCAGTTTAAAGCAGATTTGTGTACACTAGAGAAATTGTTTTGAAATGTAGTTTTTTTTTAAGCCTTTGTCAAAAGTTTTTTTCTTTTAACTTAACAAAATGCAAAAAAAATAAGAAAACTGCTTGCTAGTGTGGTATTTTATAAATTTTATTAAAAACAAATTGATCTTCTTTAAAATGACTTAAAAGAAAGAATAATAGTTAAAGTTTTAATATTTGATCTGCAATGGCTAACAAGCAAAATATGAAAGCTTGCATAGCCTGCTGTATGAATATAATCTGTCAAAACATTGTTTATTTGACTTTTAAGCCTATTATTTTCTAAAATATGAATCGCATCCAATTTTATAGGCCTCCAGCAGTGCATAGTGGGTGATTTTTACATCGAGAAGATGAATAAACCCCAGTCGAGACATTGAGCTGCTATTTAGACTCCCCACGCTTGTGGTGTGTGTGTGTTGCAAGTGTGAGGAAATGAGCCCTCGGGCTTGTTTGTTTAATTTTACATAACATTCATCCTTCAAACTCACACAAGCATATTACATGTTTCAGTAATAAGCCCTAGATTAGCTTGAACCTTACCCCAACACCAACAAATTTTACAGTATCTTATCATGACAGGAGCAAAATCACACACACACACACACACACACACACACGTATGTGTGTATATGTTTGTGTGTGTATGTGTGTATATATATGTATATATGTGTGTGTGTGTGTGTGTGTGTGTATATGAAAAAAGCCTCTAAATGCCATTTGAAATTTTCTTCTTTAATGATGATTTTTATCAAACTTGTATATTTAAGTTCAGTAATTTCACTTAAATAACAATTAATAGGTGATTATCATTGCCATTTAAGTGAAATTACTGAACTTAAATATACAAGTTTGACAAAAATCATCATTAAAGAAGAAAATTTCAAATGGCATTTAGAGGCTTTTGCATCTGAACTCTTCATATATATATATATATATATATATATATATATTAGGGATGCACAATATATATCGGCCAGCATATCGGTACCGGCTGATATATGTTCATTTTTAATGTTATCGTTATCGGCCTGGTAAGAAAATGTGGCCGATATATTAAAGCCGATAAATAATGTATTATTCCCTTCAGCTGAGACACTTGTTGAGAACTGTTTATGTTTTTGAATTCCTTGAAATATGATTGAAATCTCTTCAAAAAATAAAAAAATGGTTCGGTACAACATATGCAGCGCAAATCTGTCATATCGGCCATACAACACTATAATGAGAACATCATTATAATCGTGCACTTGGGACATGGATTTAATTGTGAGACTTTTGTTTTTTGTAATCAGGCACTCAAAATTGATTAAATAAAAAATTTTAATTTAAATTTATTGGGTGATATACCGGCCATCGGCTTTCAAATATAAAGAATTATCGGTTATCGGTATCGGCCAAAATTTTCATATCGGTGCATCCCTAATAGGTATAGCTATATATATATATATATATATATATATATATATATATATATATATATATATATATATGAAGAGTTCAGATGCAAAAGCCTCTAAGTGCCATTTGAAATTTTCTTCTAAAATGATAATTTTTATCAAGCTTGTATATTTAAGTTCAGTAATTTCACTTAAATGGCAATGAAGATTACCTATTAATTGTCATTTAAGTGAAATTACTGAACTTAAATATACAAGCTTGATAAAAATGGTCATTCTAGAACAAAATTTCAAATGGCACTTAGAGGCTTTTGCATCTGAACTCTTCATATATATATATTCATATATCCAAATGTACTATTTTTTCTGCAAATATACCGCATCTTATGTTAATTAATTTTTTTATTAGTTCAAATAATGTTCTAAATTTCAGTTATTGAGTGAGCAGATTGCTGTTTATCCCTCCCTTACCTCCCCAGCTCTGCTGGTCAGATTTATGGCACCTGTGTGAAAGTTCTCTCTTCTTAGAGGAGAGGACAACACTGTTCGCACCTCAGCTGAAGTGTTCTTCTCATTTTATAGTTGTGAGAACAAGTCATCAGCCACCTCAAATATCTAACCTGCTTTCCTCCCCCTCTTTGTCCTCTGCAGATCATCAGAAACTGGAGCGTGAGGCCCGAATCTGTCGTCTACTCAAACACCCCAATATTGGTGAGTTTGATTTGTATTATGACTATTTTTTAAAAGTGCCCCATTATGCTTTCAGTAATTACCTTTCATGTAGTGTCTAATATGGCTGTTTAATCTCAATTAAAATCAATTCTCAAATTAATTAGTTCTCAAATGAATATGCCAAGCCTGACGCCATTGGTACTGTTTTTATCACTTTATCAAGCTCTAAGGAAGCCTCTAGAGCTGAAATTCAGAAATGGGAATGGCTGTTTCGTTTCCGACAAGCTTTAAGCAGTTAGACCAATCACAGCAGACTAGGTCATCTGACCAATCAGAGCAGAGTAGGATATAGAAAAGCTGGGGTTTAGAGAGACCGGATTCTTTATCAGTATTATTAAATGAGAGAATTTGAAGTATGGGTCCAAAAAAAAAAAAAAAATCAAAACTATTTTATATTTGAGCTTCAAGTTCACAACCCCTCGGTCTAGATTCCAGCTCTGCTGATTCACTCAAGAAACTTCATAAGGGTTCATCATGGGACGCTTCACGTGCACTCTATGCTTTTCTAGTCCATCTCATCCTTTAATATATAAAGAAATATTTATTCACAATGTGTATATGTATACATACCTAATCTTGAAGCCTTTGCGTCTTAGTTACAAAACGCATACTACTGTTCAAAGGTTTTGGTGCAATACATTTATTTTTGAATGAAATGAATACTTTTATTGAGCACACATTAAAGTGATTAAAAATAACAGTTTAACACTTACATTAACACAGACATTAACACTTTTACATTGTTATACAAGATTTTTATTTCAAATAAGTACTGTTCTTTTGAACTTGGAAAAACTGCATCATGTTTCCTCAAACATATTAAACTGCACAACTGTTCTAAACATTGATAATGATAAGAAATCTTTCTTGTGCACCAAATCAGCATATGAGGATGATTTCTGAAGAATTATGTTTCACTGAAGCTTTGCCACAATAGGAATAAATTACATTTGGAAATAACTTGAATACATTTAAAAATCTTGCCGAACCCAAACTTTTGAATGAGACTGTAAATTTACTCAAACTATTAAATGTCGGTGTATATGTGGGTTTGTCGCAGTGGGCATCTGCAGGTGTGTGTGGTGGTAGTGATGACTGGGACTGAATTGGGCTGAAGTATTTTTGCAGCAAAAATACCGTGTCCTGCAGAACAGCCTCTTCCGAAAGTCATTGTCTAAAGGAACGGATGAACAATAGAACAAAATAAGGATTGTGAGGGGAAAACTTTAATTAATAAATGGCAAAAGAGAATGAAAATTAAGACACGGAGGGAATTAGAGGGAGGATTGGAGACAGAAATTGGGAGACTGATCGATAGAATGAGGAGAAAACAACTGAGCTATCGAGCAGAACCATAGAGATGTGAACGATGACGACGAAGAAAGAGGTGAAGGCAGAGGGATGGAGAGGGATAGAAGAGGAGTGGAGCTCTATAAATAACTGTGCTGAGGTGGGAGATGCTGGTGGGCAGCGGTTCAGTCCAAATACCATCATTATTGCCAATGAGTTCAGAACAGCAATAGAAGAGGCGAGAGAGTGGAAGAAAACCACGAAGAAGATGAAGAAAAACACACCTGGTTGAGGCACTATGACAGTGTATCATTTTTTTTTTCTGTTTGTGTTCATCAGGTATGAAATAATAAGACGTATAAGAAAAGAAATGGTCTATACTTGGATCATGGTTATTAACTTATAAACCATTTTTTCTTTATTACATTTTCTACAAAAATCACTACAATGTGATGCATTCTGTTACTTAGATAATTAAGTGTACCGTGTTACATATTTATACCCCTGGGGCCGTATTACAGAAACATCCAACTCTAGAATCCCATTTTATCTATTTGGTACCAATGAAAACTAGCCTTCGGGCTCATTTGGGTACATGTACATTCGGGAATGTTGAGTAAAGGGATACTCCACTTTTATTGGAGTTAAAACAGTTGGGTTTTACCGAATCCATTCAGCCGATTTTCTGATATTTAAAAGAATGTTACCAGACAGTTTCTGGTCCCATTGACTGCCATAGTATATAATTTTTCCTACTATGAAAGTCAATGAGACCAGAAACTGTCTGGTTACTGATATTCTTCTAAATATCAGAAAATCGGCTGAATGGATTCGAAAATGGTAAAACGCAACTGTTTAACTCTGAGGGAGTTGTAAAATGAGCTTATTTCCCAAAAAAGTGGAGTATCCCTTTAATGTACACTGCCACTAAATAACTAACTTGGTGATTTCAGTAAGGAACTCAAGACCTAACACAAGAAGTTTCAGTAACACAATCCCTGAGATATGTTTTATTGCTTTTGCCTGATTGTGTGAAAAATACTTCAGCCTAATTCAGTCCTAGTCATTACTGCCACACACACGCACATACACAGCTGCAGATGCTCACTGGGACAAACTCACTTGTACACCACAATTTAAAAGTTTGAATGCATTTGATTAAATTTACAGTCCCATTAAAAAGTTTGGGGTCAGAGAGATTTGTTTTATGTTTTTGAAAGTCTCTTATTCTCAGCAAGGCTTCACTTTAAGACCTACCCATGACGCAAAATATATAACACGCATTCTCATCTTGTCACGCTTGAATAATTTGAAAGCATTTGCACGAATAAGAGGTTAATTTTGACAGCCCTTGTATGTATGTATTTGTGTATGGTTTATATATTCTATAGTTTTTTGGTTATATAACGTTATATTTCAGTTCTGTATTTTACCAATATGTAGTTCTACTGTCTTGCGTCTTGCACACCTTTTAAAGTAGTCCCACATTGACGTCGGATTCACACTCTGTCCAGTGTCTTTCTCCTCCATTCTCGGTTTCTCACTCCTCCATCTTTTTTTTCCACTCTAGCCATTTTTCCATCCAATGTGTTTTTGTATTCTGGTCTCAGTTCCCCGCCTCAGGCGATGCCATCTCCTTTTTCCTGCTCCATCACCTGTATCTGTTTCTCTCTCCTTTACTTTCCCTCCTGTTGTCCCTCCTCAAGTGGACAGCTTGTCATGTTTTCTGCTTGGGCTGCACATAAGTGCTGAACAATAGAGCCAATGAAGGAAGAGAGATGGAGAGAGACAGTCTGAAAGGTTAAAGAGAAGAGAGGACTGAGTGCTCATCGCTACTGGCACACACTAATGTGCATCTCCTTTCTCTTTCCCTCACTCAGCAAGTATTACATATTTTCTTTTGTAGAATGTTCTCAAGCATCATTAAAGGGATACTCCACCCAAAAATAAAAATTCTGTCATCATTTACTCAGCCTCAAGTTGTTGAAAACCTGTGTGAATTTCTTTCTTCTGCTGAACACAAAGGAAGATATTTTAAAGAACAATTGGAACTTTGTTGGCACCATTGACTTCTATAGTTTTTGTTTTCTACAATGGAAGTCAATGGTGCCAAACAACTGTTTGTTCTAATAATAATAGACAGCTCTGCTGACAAATGCGCAAGTTTTCGTGTGGACAAGTGCTGAAAAGTGAAGCCAAAGCGCCCCCACCCCCCAATCTTTTCAAAGATGTCTTCTGTCATTTTAGTTAGTGTTCGTTTTTTTTAAAAATAAGTTTGGTCTTTGTTATTTGGTGCTATAAAAACGGGAATGTGGCATCATGATTGACAGCTTTTCTAAACGAAGTAGTCGCCAAGGCACCAAAGGATTTTTTGGGGGATTTTTGACAGGAGATTGGAGCTTCAGCTTTAATTTATTTTCTACTAGGACTGTCAAACGATTAATAATTAATAAAACGATTTATTTTGGATGCGATTAATCACGATTAATCGTTTGACAGCCCTAATTTCTACATGTCCATAACTGTTTATTTAACAAATTTTGTATTAACCGTTTCTGCGCGAGTGAGGGCGGGACCTTGATATCACGGCTTTACTTCCTGCTCACTACTGCGCAGAATCAGGTCCCTAATATGCGCAAGATATCAGCTCCATATTAGGACTTTGGCGATTTTACTTTTCACCAACGGAAGAGAGAGAAGGGGCGTCATCCATCTTTTTTTTTTTTTTTTTTTTTTACAGTCTATGGTTTCCATCCAATCAAACTTCAGTAGCTCCCCGTCCTTGTTTCATGCTGAATATTGGTATACCTATTTTACACAAGTTAAATGTGTGCAAATGTCCATTTACATGGTATTTAACCTCTGACTGAATGTTTAGGACTTAATTAAACTTGAGCATCTGTAATTATTGGCATGATAGAAGCTCATGTTTGCAGTACCAGTGTCAACAGGCCTAGGGCCTTGCTTGTCAAACAATCACACTAAGGACTATTGACTCACTGCATTTTTCTAATAATGTAGAATTAATTTGTCTAATATATGTATATTCCAACATCAGATTTGCCTCAATGTCTCTTTTATTTACCCTTCGTCTTTTTCTCTTCCTCCTCTAGTTGCAATGTTGCTCTTTTTCTAAGCACTCTCATAAGGCTCCTGCTATTCTGGGCAGTGTTTACTCAACTCTTTCTTTCTTTATTTCTCCCTCTCTCTTTCTCTCTCCCAATACACCCCCCACCCCCACCCCAACACACTCGGTGTGTGTCACTGTCTACGTGACACACTGCTTGTGTACATAAGTGAGCTTGTCATCCGAATACTCTCTTTTCGATGGATTCTTTTTGTGTTATTTAATTTCGCCATGTGCTCATTATGGTTGTCTTAAGTCTATAAACGTGGCTCATAATTGTAAGTGTCACCATAATAGCGTGCAATTGGATGTTTGCTGTATGTTCTCATCAGATGTTTTTATGAATGCTGTGTGATGGAGCGAGGAATGCTCAAGATTTCCCTCTCATTAAAAACATTTGCTTTCATAATGCATTATCTCTGTGTGTTACATTGTTTAATGCTGATTCTTTTGTTTTGTCTTTTCAATCCTAGTTCGGCTCCACGAAAGTATTTCAGAAGAAGGCTTCCATTACCTGGTCTTTGACCTGTGAGTATCACACACACACTCACACACACACACACACACACACACACACACACACACGGTATATGTTGTATTGTAACTTCAGACATGATAATAAGAAAGGGCTCTGTTCCAAAAGGTTACCTCACTACCTATGTAGGTAACTGCCTTCTAAGACAGCTTTCTGACTAAAATGAATCCTCATTAAATTAAACGAAATGACCAAATACTGTATTAGTTAATAAATAATACAAAAATAACATAGCTTCTATCTTCAGGTAATTTTTTTTAACTCTCAATGGTTGTAAGAGGCTTCCTGCTCTTTGAAGAAGGATGGACAAGTTATCAAACCCAAGACATTTTGTTCCAATGAATCATGTCTGAAACCCCATTGCTGCTGGCAGATAAAAGCAACTGAAATATGTACGACAAGAACAACCTCGTATGCATCTTCCCGGGTGTCAAAAATATATCCTTCAATTTGATGGGATCTGCCTGCAGAATTGATGGGCAGACATGTCTGGGTGGCCATAAAAGTACGATTTAGTACTGTCAAGATAGTTCTGGTTTTTAACCAGAGTCCAGTGCACTTTGATTTTACTAGGCGTCTTTGGGGAACTCTGGAACAAATGCTGAGTTCCTGTTATACTGTATGTCTCGTGCACTTCAACTGCTTGCCACCCTCACAATTTACCATGGTAACCACTGTGAGTTGGCGAAATATGCTAAATTTGTTTCATAATATTCTCAAGAAATAACGAATACTGTTCAAAAGTTTGGGGTCTCTATGATTTAAAAAAAAAAAATGTTTTCATGCTTACCAAGGAAAAATACAGAGAAATACTCAATTGTAAAATATTATTAGTTTTCTATTATTATTAGTTTATTATTAGTTATTAGTTTTAAATATTTTTTAAATCATTCTTCAGAAATCATTCTGCAGATTTGCAGATTTGTTTATCAATGTTGAAAACTGATTATTATTATTATTGGATTCTTTTAATAGAATGTTTAAAACAATTATGTATAATCACTCTCACTCTCCTTTTCTCTCTCTATAAGAATTAAATATTGTATTATAATATTACTTTATTAATTTTTTTATTAGTTTTATTGCACTGCAAATTATTTTAGGTCATATAATGTCAATTCATTAAAATATTTATGACTATTGTTGATTTATTACTATTGTTGATACTATTAAAATATTTATTACTACTGTTAAACAGTGATTATAATTATTATTATAGGATTATTTTAATAGAACATTTAAAACAATTATGTATAATCTCTCTCACTCTCCTTTTCTCTCTATATAAGAATTAAGTATTGTATTATAATATTACTTAATTATTTTTTTATTAGTTTTATTGCACTGCAAATTACTTTAGGTTATATAATGTCAATTCATTAAAATATAATATTTAATGAATCTTATATTATTTTTTATTTTATTTGTTGTAGTTGTTGTTGTTGTTGTTCTTGTTATTATTATTGTAATTGTTGTTATTTTTATTTTTAAAAAAGTGTTGTTTTTTCCCACCTGATATTTCTTTTCCTCATTTTCTACCAAGTGATGCATTTTTGCATAATTGCAATTGAAACAGTTCTCAGATTTACCAGTTTTGAATAAAATACCATAGGTTACTACAGTAATTGTAACTACAATAAAACTCCTGAAACTTTGTCAAAGCCTACAGTTACCATGGTAAAATTTCTAATTACGGTCTTGCATCCAATAATATACATATATGAAAAGTATAATTGGGCCATGCAAGTTTTACTGCAGCATCACATACATTTGTGATCATGTTAGCGAAAGTATAAAATGTCGGTTCTGCCTCTTTCTGCTGAGCAAATTAGCCCAAAACCCAGCACACTCTCTACTCTCTCTCATCCCTTGTTTCACTGGGGTTTTTTCCTCTCTATTTCCGCAGTGTGACTGGGGGGGAGTTGTTTGAGGACATCGTCGCCAGAGAGTATTACAGTGAAGCTGACGCAAGGTGGGCTCTCCAATTTACTGTTGCTGTGGTTACTGTGCTGCAGCCTGCAGTGAGCAGGTCACACACACACACACACACACTCACATCTGATTCAAAAGCACAAAGTGGACGTTCCCTTTTGTTCAGAAAAACTGAGAGCCTTTAATGATGGTGGAGTTGCAGAACTGGCAATCAACAGGTGCCGCACAAACCCATCGTTTTGCCCTCAGTTGGCCCCTCCTTTTGAGTGCATCATTTCTGCAACACTAACAAAAGCAGCACTGAACTGCTAAAACCAAGATTCGGTCTAAACAGGTTTCCCAGAGTGGCACAGAAATTACACGGTTTGAACAGTGTCTTCAGGAACCAGCAGCGAGTGAGTAAGTCTCTGAGGGACTCTTGATTCCAAGTTAAAAGCCCCAGGCATCCAACGCAAACACCCTCCAGCAGTTAGCTGTGTTTTAATGCGCTCATATGGGACTTCATGGTAAATTTGCTTTACAAGAGTTGCATCCAGTTTAGCATCTAAGCTTTGATATTACATAGGAAAAGACTAAGTAAAAAAATGTGTGTGTGTTTGAGAGAGATACAGAGAGACAGGTATTTTGTGTCCAGTGGGATTTGTGCTGTCCTGAAAATGAAATGCTGGGCTTAAAATAACCAAATTTGGCCAAATAGCGTCTGTGTGCTATTTTAACATTAATATACTCAACAGTCTTTTTCAATCTCGTGTAATCCACTTTTCTTATTCCCTTATTCCTTGTGGCATGCCATAACCAAGCATGGTACAGTTGACAGGTGATCAAATCATCTTTCTTGTAACTGGAAACTTGTCGCCTAGTTGGGACATGGTATAAATCTGCACTTTTGAATATAATATAATGTAATATTATTATATTTAATATAATTGAATATTTAAAAATGGTGAATATCTATATTAAGCTGTGGTTTAGTGGTGAATTTACAGCTAATGGGTGTTATTAGGCTCAATGCGAAGTGGAGCTTATTGCTTCACGGGTCTTATTGCTTTTATAAAATGGTTATTCCTCATAACTGCATAAAATAAACATACAGACACAAAAAAATGTAATTTTATTGATAAAATTATTATTCTTCCGCCTAGCAATGTAGTTCTTCAGAAGCGGAATGGTTGCCAGTAATTTGTATGATAGAGAAGACAGTGGCTCAACCAATCATCATCATAAAGGACTGGAACTATCCGTTTTGTTTTTATATATATTATATTATATTATATTATATTATATTATTATATTATATTATATTATATTATATTATATTATATTATATTATATTATATTATTATATTACAAAGCTATTCATCTGCTTTGCTAAATACTACAAGTGACCCATGAAGAGAAGTTGATTGTACACTAGGGCTGGGCAAAAAAATAGATTTTTCGATTAATCGTTTTTTAAAATGTGTTCGATTCTAAATCGATTCTCAACGGCCACGAATCGTTTTTTTCCATATAAAGGGCTCGCGGACGCGGTGCTGCATCTTCTCGTCTCTCTGCACTAGGCAAGCGCCAAGCGCTGCAGCTGTCGATACACACACGCGTTCAGGAGTCGGGACACGACGGAATATTCACTTAACAATCGGGCCAGCATTGCATCGTAACCTATGATCGTAACTAACGTTTATCATTTTCACGTCTTTTTGTGTTTTACAAGCAATGTTAAACCATCCCATGCTCGCGCACTCTCAGAGATGTCTTTCACTGCCTCACAAACAGCTCGCCAGAAACAAAAGTTTTATTCCTGGATTATATCACTTTAACAGTTAAAACACGCGACATTATGTCAAAACTCTGGTCTTGGTGAGTAACCTCGTAAAGACAGTCGGTAATGTCTTAAATTAGCATTAAACGCGTGTGACAGAAAGTTAATGAAACGGTATGGATTCGCGCACTAGTTCTTAAAGTGAACGCAGCCATTTGTGTCAGTCATTAATTCTGTTGTCATAACAACAGAATATAGTATTAATTGTAAGCAATCAGAATTAAAAGCCTTTGTATTTAATTCAGTCTGGACTAAAAAGACTATCCAGTGTTATTTTACATTGGATTACTTTATTCAGTTTCTGTAGTATTTCTGACATACCCAAAAAACTATCCCAAAATGTCTCTTAATTTGTGTCTTTATTATATTGTATTTATTTGTGCTACTTTTTTCAATTTAATTCAAAGATTGAAATCAAGCTTCCATACATAAACTCTTAAAACAAAAACAAAAAACAAAAATAAACAAAAAAATTACATTACCATTTAGGTAAGATCAATGTAAAAAAATGTCTAAATATTTATATATTTATTTATCTATATCTATCTTAAACATAAAATAACATGATCCTGTTTGATCAAGCTGTGCGACTGTTCTGACTTTTTTTGCATATTGCATCAAAATCCTGTTTATTCTTTGTATGCATTTAGTGTACCTAAAATAAAAAGAGTTTTATATACAGGTTTATGGCTCTTAATTTCTTTGTATTAATTAACCACTAGTAAACTTATGTCCACTGTTCTTTTTTATAAATATAGGATGTGTATTACATCTTCATTATAGTCGAATCGAGAATCAAATCAGCAATCGAGAATCGAAATCGAAAATTGAATCGAGAATCGAAATCGAATCGAACTGAGAGCTTGTGAATCGAAATCGAATCGAAATTGAAATGTGAATCGATACCCAGCCCTATTGTACACTGTCATGACCTAGACATCATCTCTTCTATTTCCTCAGAATAAACTCAATATGAATCTAAATAAAGGCATGCATAATTTCACATTAATACTAAGAATTTATAGCAGCGTGACACCAAAGCAGCTCACACACACACTCATTCTGGTTCATCTGTCCTGGTTAGAAGATTACACGTTTAAGAGGGATGAGATAACGTTTGTACCTGTCTGAGAATGAGGTGCGTTTCCAAGAGTAATGCTCACCTCAGCTGTCCCACAATCCCCTGCTCATCTTATGTGCCTCAGTCACATTACACTTGACCCATGACTTGGCTCATTCTGCTAAAGAAGCAGTAGTATGTGCATATGCAGTGTCAATCATCCAGTCATGTTTAATTTAATTCCTTAATTGAATTGTCAAGCACAGGCTGTTGAATAACTTTACTGTAATCAATTTCAAGAGTTTATTTTAATTAACAGATTGATGTTATGGACTTCAATTAATTTGTCAAGTTCTCAAAAAAAAAAAAAAACCTTGTGAAAAACTACCTTTTAGAGGGAAAATTAATGAAAATGAATGTAAATATAAGGAAGCTGACTTGAGTTGAGTTATATTAAGATATCAATATTTAGCATTATCTCACCCTATCTCACCCCCTTATGATCTTTCTCTGCCACTGATTGATTTATTATTCTATTTTTCAGCCAGTGCATCAATCAGATCCTGGAGAGTGTCAATCATATTCACCAGCATGACATCGTGCACAGAGACCTTAAGGTGAGCAAGAGTCAATCGCCTCGACATCTCCACACATGGCACACGGGCCGTCTCTGAGGATTTTTATGTTGATGCCTTGCCCCACACAAACACACAGATATACACATACAACAATATTCCTGCTCTTATTTATAATTCCCATCATTTTAACCCTCTGGGTCGAAGGTGTTTTTAGGGTCCTTTAGATGTTTTAACATGCCCTGACATTTGTGCCAGGTCAATGGGACAGGTGAAGTTACACTCTATTTAGCACAAACAGGGCTACCATAATATGTGAGCAGCATGTATTGTATTTTTGAGAGAATGTTGTTTATGAATGGTTATTGAAAAAAACTAAAAATTAAAGTTTCTAAAATAAGGCCACAAACCACATTCTAAATATCTGTCCACAAGACTTTTGACTAATGGATGTTGTAGCCTAGAGTTTTTGCTTCAAAATGATCTGAAAATCATCCTGCCTAATCTTTTACATAAACAATAGATTTTTTTAAATTGTGAAAAACATTTGTTTGTTTGGAAAAGCAATATGTGTGGGGGTGTGAACGGCCCTACCCCTCATGAATAATTAGGTGGTCACATAACATATCACATTAACACGTAATAAGCTATAATTAGCTGAAAAGAAAAAGACTGACATCTCTCTCTTTTCATACAGATTACATAAAATGAGAATATTTGTTTTTTATATAAATTACTTAATTTAAAAGAAGAGAATTTCAGCTTCATAAAGAAAAATCTTTAGTGCCTGTGTGACAACTATTTACTTAGTTACAGTTCATTTTTGGACCGTTTCAGAATGAACTTCACTGACAGAGAGAAGGCTATTAATTTGTATACTGCTTATTTTTCTTTATTTGACAAAAAGCAGAACACTTTGATTTATTGTGAGTATCCACAAAAAAAATAGACACTTAAAGGTACAATATGTAAGATTTTTTTGCCACTAGAGTGCACAGTTTCCAACAATAACAAAGGAGTAGGTTGATGACGCAGTGATGAGCTGAATGATATGACTTGCTGTCAAGCTGATGGATCTAATAATGTTCATGGATGAGTGCAAACATTCATTTTTTTTTAAATCACAGTGGTATGAAGTAGGTCGCGATTGCTAAAGAGACAGATATCACACGCGATTCGAGTGGATATAAAGGAAAAAGGACATTTAATTCTACCGAACTACCCGCAAGAGCTGAATTACTAGAATAACAGGATCTAATGATGTACAACACTTACATGTAAGATCACACATGTAAGTCTTTTTTGCAGGAAAAAAGTGAGCTTGTCACGCCAGCGTGATAGCCGACCCCAGAGAGTTAATCAAAGATGTCTTTAGCTACCTGAACTACTTATCTGCAGTTCTGGTGTTTTCTCTACAGTTCAAATGCTCAAATACATACTAGAACTTTTTTTTACAGAGGATTATCTTTGTTTGAAATAATACTTTCTTTTTTAACAGTACTAGTTAAAACAATTCATCATATTACCATATGAATCAAGTGCATGCATAAACATCACACACACGTTGTGTCTCCACTGCAGTGCGTGCGAATGTATGAAATGAGTGTGTGTATATGTTGTCTTGACAGTGCCAGCGTCTTTGATAATGCAAACAGACACGCACAGTTTTATCACGTCCTTCTATTGTGCATTAGTCACATACACTGCCCTCCCCCATGTGTATGTGAGCCCAATGATGAGCAGCAGAGATGTGCCCAGGCTGGTTGCCATAGCGAAGAACGTGATACGACAACTGTTGCTGGTATTGCCGGAGAGACGGAGGGATGTGGGAGGGGTCACCTCGAGTCTCACCATCCCTCATTTGTAGTCTGTGCATTTAATGAGGGAGAGCGAGAGATTCACACCTATGGGCATCAATTTCCCTGCATCCTCATAACAGATGAATTTCAATTCTGTGCTTGAATGTAGAACTAGAGTGTGAACTCTGCGCATTAAGAAGATATATTTGCGGTAGCTAATAAATCAAGCCTATTGAGTTGTATATTCGAGAACTGCAGAGGAAATCGACTTTTCCAGCCTATATTTTAGTGTGAAAGGCTTCCATTCTGCCTAATATATCTTTCTGGCTCTTTTCACTCAGGTGTGTACTTGAAGCTCCTGTATATCGATGCAAGTTTGTGTTTGATTATCAAATTTGGTGCACTGACAAAACCACAGGAAATCCACCCTAATATTTGCTCAGCTTAATTGTTAACAGCTTAATTGAGAACTTTATTCAGATGTGCTTAACCTATAAGCTGTGTATAAACTCAATTACCTGAGGATAGCTCTTTGACCCCCAAAATCTGTCCTATCCCACTGAGCTGGTTTGGCTGGAATAGTGAAACCACCTGTTCATCTGCACATCTGCTGGGGTTGCTTTTCTCTTTAATCACTGTTCACACTGACGGTGTTGAAGGTTTCAAAGTGGCTGGTATTGTTGGTCTTGTATATTTTCCTACTGCTGGATGTCCTTATTTTATTACACTAGATTAAACCAATTCTTATTTTTTATTTTAAAAATAACATTCTTATATTCTCATAATTGTATTGTTTAAAAATATAGAAACTGAATACTGAATCAGAATGAATATTTTATGTCCTATATATATGAATAAATATATGTGTGTATATATACAGTTACAAATATAATAAGTGATGTCTGGTTGCTTTGATGCTGCAAATTACAGTCAGTGTGAACATCCCAACACCAGTAAACTGTCCTAGCTTTGCGCCACACGCTCGGCACGGTCAATCCCAAAGAATCTTTTTAAGTTCTATTTGGAATCAATTTGATTTGAATCGGTTTGTGAGTGTTCTCAGCAAGCAATAGCTGTCATTTCACCATCTAGGTTAACTATAGAGACACAGTGTAGTCTGGCTATGAGTAACCCACTTTTAGCCAAAATAACCTTGAATTTGGATTACACGTCGTTTTGGCTAAAATAACTTGCGAGATGTATGATATTCCGTCATGTAAGCAAAGTCAACAGTGATTACAAGGTGTTTGGTATCATTTATTTGACATGTTCTATGCGTAGTCTGTACTTATATTCTTAAGCTGGTTAGACGTCTATTCAATTTTCACTGACAACCCGAATTTTTCCTTGTTTTAGCCTGGACGTCTTTTAACCCTCTGGGCTTCTTCGGTCAAAAATGACCGAAAACTGTTACGTTTTGAAATGTTTAATTTTTTTGCTTGATCGGATCGGGCTGAAACTTGGTGACTTTTGTTGTATTACCTATATGAACACACAAAAAAAACAAGGAGATGATTCTGATTTGTTAAAGGGTCGTAAAAAAAAAGTCACACTTAGCTTCCTCCCGGTCAAAAATGACCGACAGGAAATGAATGGGAAATACGAAAAAATAGGAAAACTCAGAGAAACTTTTGGTGGTACAAGCTACAGATCAACAACTGTGCAGAAAAAAAGTGTACAGCAATGAAGGGGTGACACTCTAGAACATCAAGAGTGCAAATAAGACCACCCCCCCCCCACACACACACACACACACGCACACAAACACACACATACACAGATAAACTGGCAAGACTGCACCAGCAAATTTGTAGAATATGAAAAATAAAATCAATAAATGAGAAAAAAATCTTGCTCAAATGCGCACTCACACGCACACAGACATGAGAAATCATGTCTAAACCAACAAAAAGAATCAAAAAGCCTTTCTATGTATTTGAATAGGAAGCTATAGGCAGCCTACAGGCTGTACAGGACATTGCACACATGTAACTATTTTTTTAAAGCCACTAGGTGGCGCTCTTCTACTTGAATTATTTTTTTTTTTATTAGCTGACACTCTATTTTGATGTGAAATGTTGTATTTATTGAAAAAAAATAAAAAACAATATAAAATAAAAATATGTATATTAATTCTAATGGAAAAATAGCTCATAAAAATTATATAATTAATGCAAAGTATCATAAAAATTTCTAAAAATTCTAAATAATAATCATAAAATATTATAGAACAAAAATATATTTGAATGGTTATCCTGGGAAGAAGTAAAGTAAAATTTTAAGGTTTCGTCCGTTTTTGACCGGGAGGAAGCTAAGTGTAACCCATTTACAAAGAAGCCCAGAGGGTTAAACACATTGTTTGCTGGGTTTAGTGTGCTAAAATCATTATTTGTTTTCGTCCTCAGCCCGAGAACTTGCTGTTGGCCAGTAAGATGAAAGGAGCGGCAGTGAAACTGGCAGATTTTGGGCTGGCCATTGAGGTGCAGGGAGATCAGCAGGCCTGGTTTGGTAAATAACTCTGCCTTCAGCTCTAATTTTGCACCTCACACAAACTTATATTTCTGAGGATGTCAAGAGGATGTCAAGAGAATTTGAATTAATTCACTTATCCAAATCTTTTCCCTACAGCCTTTGGGGATTTTTACATTTAAAAATGTCAAATGTTGGCTGATTAATAGGCAAAAGTAATAGTAATGTTTGCCTTAGCATTCACTAATTAAAATAGGGCTATTGTTTTGGCCATTCATTAATAAGGGCATTTATTCCTTCTTTTTTACTGCTAGTGTATTCAATTTTACAGGATTTACTGTATTTGTGAGGACTTTTCAGACATTTTCCCTAAAGAACTGTGCTGATTCCCTCATAAAATTCATTCAGTTTATCTTAAAAGGATGTTCCGACATTTCCCACTCTATTACCTGCAGTCTGAAATGGATTGTGAAGGTTTATTTTCTGGCAGTGCTAAATGCCAGTCTTTGCCCATTTCATGTTTCGCTTTCACACATCATTCCTGTCGGTGTGTGAAATATCCTTTAACTCTGAAAATGTCCCTCAACAGCTACCTTTCCTGGATTAAATCTCCATGCATGCTTCTCTCAGGACTTGTGGCCCCCTACTGGCGGCTGAGTAATTCTGCTGCCATTTCTGAACAGCTTTCTTTAGTTTCAAATAGGTAATCATATTTGCTGACTGAAGTATGCCTAGCTTTGAGAAGAGAAAAGCCCTGTGGGTGGAATATTTGTTATAATATTATATATTATTTTACAACTGTGGGCAGCTGTTAAAAACCCCACCTTTTCCAGCCTTTTTCAGCCTTGCCAGTGCTGGAGTGATGAAGCTATATCAGCACGTCTTCATTTTGGCGAACCATCCACACATGCATGCTTGGAATTATTAGCATTTCAGTGAATATTAATTGGCTGAGCTACATTGCCTACAGGAATCTTCAATTTGCATCCACTTTATCTTATACTCATTGTGAAGAATAGTCACTTTTCAACTTGTTTGCTTTTGTCTCAGGTTTTGCTGGCACACCTGGCTACCTGTCTCCAGAGGTGTTGAGGAAGGATCCCTACGGCAAACCTGTGGACATCTGGGCCTGTGGTGAGTCTTCAACAGGGTCCTTAATCATTAGACCTCTATTCAGTCTGCTTGAACTGCTTCCCATATAAACAGGTTGCAGTATTCACACACTGCACGAGTGTGTCATGCTGCATAGCACTGGAAGTCGAATTTCAGTGGCGAGCTTATTTTTGATGCGTGTCGCATGCTGAACTCAGCAGAAAATATAGTGCAGATGCTCTGTGGACCTGTCTGTCAACACAATATTTTGCAATACATGCTTTAATGAAGCAAATAATAAGTGAACACAGGGACGGACGTCAGGTTCACATGGAGTCAACCAGCTACACTTTCTTTTTACATAAGAGTGTTAAGTTGCATGTAAAACAATACCATTTGGATTAAATATGATATCGCTTAGTCATATGAATTGTATTTCACAGCAATCCAGTAGGAAGTTAACTCGCTGTGCATTAAAATTGTGTAATGCACATCTAGCCCTGGATTATCCCACTTATACCATGGTTGCTTGCCCAACACTAACAAGTTAAATGTTTGAACCATTTGACTGTAAGGGTAAAAATTACAGTTCATTTTGTTCACTATGACTTGTTAGATATAACATTCGGCATGTTTTAAATCCGACACTGAGATAAAGTTGTATTTATTTGATTGAATTAAAAGATTCATTTTAATGAATTATCGAGAGAGATGTGCATGTGATTTTCCTGCATCTGTGCTATGAAGCTGTGAGTTTAATTTCTTATAAAACGGCAACTTTACCACCTCTTTGCTGAGTAATATAATGTAGCGATTCAGTAGCGAAGCTAATTTATTTCTAAAAGTCCTGGGGCAGCATTGACGACAAGTTTCTGTGCTCCTGAATGTTTCTGTGTGTGTAACATGTGCATGTGTGCTTCAATGAACCTGGAACTACCTGTGCATTACATTTTAACACACACCTTCCAGCCAATCAGAATGGAGTATTCTGACAGACCATGGTATAAATGTACTGTAATGCAATCACTGGAACAACTTCATAACCATGCTGAAAAAAACCTTGGAATGTCTGTCAGCCAATCAGAATGAAATATTTAACAGTATGAGGTAAATGTGTCTTTCTCTCTTGTTTCCCCTTTCTGTCGGTCTTTTGCAGGTGTAATCTTGTACATTCTACTAGTGGGCTACCCTCCATTTTGGGATGAAGATCAACACAAGTTATACCAGCAGATCAAGGCTGGAGCTTATGATGTAAGTACAGTTGTCATCCAATGAGGCCACACTCTCTCACTGTCGAAAAAACCCTTCATCTGATTGGTCTTTGATTGCACCGTCAAGTTTTTAAAAGGGGGGCATTCACTAGGAGTGTAAAAACTCTTATTGCCTTGCACATTTACTTTGGCCACATTTCAGTCAAATTTGCATCAATTTTTGAGGCCAATCATTTTTTAGGTTGTTGCTAATTAGTCCAGTCTATGTGAATATATTCGTTTCATAAATAAGTTTAGTGAGGCTTGTTTAATATTAGACCGCACATCTCAAGGCCTCTACATCCGTTCAGAAAATCACTGGAATTTCCCAGAAGGATACAGTTAACACCGTTTCCTGTCAACATTTGTAAAGTCACTTGGAATAAAATTCATGGAGGCAGAGCTGTGCAAGAAATGTTTAAAATAGAGCCAATAATGGGCCAAGAGGTAGAAATAAGATTTATTAAAGCCTGAAGACACAAATAAAATATAATGTAATCAAGTAATGCTCAAACAATTAATAAATGAGCTGGAATTTAATTTTATTTTATAAAAAAATATTTTATTTAATTTAATTGAATTCAGCCTATTTTCTATTTATTTGATATATTTTGGACTAAATACTCATTCTAAAATATATAAATAATAAAATAAAATTCTAGCTCATTGCTTAATTAATCATTGCAAGGTCTCTGCAACACTTTCTGTGGTCCAACTGCCTGTTTAATTTCTGATTGGGTGCGATTTCGAACTACGGGTGCTGTTATTGATTGTCAGGCCCTCCCTGACGCATTGCAGAGAGATGGGCTTTGCTTAGAAACAACTGCCTTGTCCCAGAGTGTATGTGCTTGTTTGTTTGTTTGCTTGTGTGTGTGGTGCGTTTTTAAATTGTCCATCAATTGCATCACCGTCTCACACCCTCAGATGTATTTAGCAGGACATGGAGCGAATGACCGCCCCAGAGAGATATTCATTCCATTAAAATGTACGTGTCAAATAAAAGGGAGGAGATGATATGATTGTGGCTTGTTGTGAATGTGAATGTGTTCACTGTTAGATGGGTTTGGTGGTCACAGTGTCAGGCCAGGTCAGTTCATCTAAGGGGAGGGTGATATGACAAATCTTTTATCACAAAATATATAAACAATGTTGTTAATTTTTGGTGAAAACCTAACCAGAAAATGTTTTATATCAAGAACATATTGGTGGTAAAATGAGTGCTCACACAGTACAAGTGTTGTTCCAAATTTTGCATACTCTCTTATGAACCTTGCTTTTTAAATTAAAAGCATTAAAATAATCATTATTGATGAGTCAAATCATTTTCATTATATGTATTGTATTATATGGGAGAAGGAAACGTTCTGAGCATGGGCCCCTGATTTATATAATGATGTGGTATTGCCTGGTATTGTTTAGTGTAGTCAATGAAGATAAATATTTTTGTAATGGGTTTTCATCCAATTTGACTATTTTCTCTTAGTTTTTAGAAATTGATGGATACAAATACCAAGTTATATAATGTATAATTAATGCAAAAATACTATACTGGTCAAACGTTCTGGATTTGGTGTTCAGAAACATTTCTTTTCAATGTCATCATCAATAATAGGAATATTTTCATGGAAACCATGACACTTTTTTAGTTTTCTTTGATGAATAGAAAAGTTCAAAAGTTTTTTTTTTTTGTTATTTTTTAACATTATCAATGTTTTATTGTCACTTTTGACCAATTTAATGCATCCTTAATAAGGAACAAAAGGATTAATTACTGACTTTTGCAAACTTTTGAATGGTAGTCTATAACAGAAGACAAATATTATAAAGATAGTTCTGGCTCTAAATTCTGATCGGATGATTCCTTCTGTTGACTTGTCCTACTCTTTATTGTTTTGCATTTTTCTTTATCACTTGTAAAGTAAATAACACCCAGTAACGTTGGTAATATGTACCATGGCATAAATCTTAATCCAAATCTCTACGGGTTGACACATTGCTATTGAATCAAGAATAGGAAACCTTACCGTGAGCTTCTCTGTTTTTTACTTTTGCAACCTTTCGTCATGTGATCACAATCAATGAGGTGTAGTTGTGCCTCATCATCCATTACAAGCGTCTGTCACTGCGCCTTCTGGCCATGGGTTCACATTTGAATGCACCGTCCGCAGCTGAAACAGTGTGTGTAAGGGCTTATGAGCACCTGCAGTGTTTCTAAGTACAATCCACATGCTCGTTTTAGCTGATGCAACACAGCTTGGTGCGCAAACAAATTATACTTCCTGGAACCTACCCAAGGTTTTCTTGGAACAGACAAAGGATTTGTAACAGCCACATTAAGATCTCCTGGTACGAAAGAGGAGGTGCGACACACATTCAACACTGATACAGACACAGCTTTTTATTGGCTAATTACAACTGCAATTTTCTCTAGTTACGGGCTGCAATGAAGCCATGAGGTGTGAAATGCGCAAGCAACATGTTTCGAGCACCAGCCGTGCCGAATAGACCGACTGTAGGAGGACTGACTGGCGTGACTCATTGAATCCTGTACGCTGCCTTGTGACAGGTTTAATGTCATTAGGCCTCAGTGCAGACTGCTCTGTATGTGTGTCTGTACGTATTGTGGTGTGAAAAGCTCTCTAGGCATTCTCCTGCATTTAGATTGCATATCTAACACTCGCTCGTGATTCTTTCCCCTACAGTTTCCTTCTCCGGAGTGGGACACGGTCACCCCCGAGGCCAAGAACCTCATCAACCAAATGCTGACCATCAACCCAGCTAAGAGAATCACAGCAGAGCAGGCCCTCAAGCACCCATGGGTCTGCGTAAGTTATCTCTGCTGAAGACTTAATTTACCACAAGCCCCAAGCAAGAACGAATTGATTGAGTTTAATGTGAAATGCAGCCTTTCACATTGCCACTTTCCACATATTTGAGCTCTCAGTTAGGTCAGAATAAGATGCATAAAGGAATAGTTCACTTTTATATGAAAATAGGCTGTGTTCCTGGATACTATTGTATCCAAAACTTTTGCATTCTTTTTGAAGCCTGAAAGTTCACCATTCATTGAATTGGCAAAGGGTATATATACAATATAATACAATTCACTATATATTGTGAAAATAACCCATTGTGTGTTCCACGGAAGAACACGATTCATACAGGACCGCATGAGGGAGTGTAAATAATAAAACAATGTTCTTTTTTGGGTGGACCATTCCTTTAATTGGTTCAAATACCTCTATGATGCTGATGTGCAATTTTTTCTTTGTCTTTTTTTGCTCGTTTCAGCAACGGTCCACTGTGGCGTCCATGATGCATCGCCAAGAGACTGTGGAGTGCTTGCGCAAGTTCAATGCCCGCAGAAAACTCAAGGTACGGAATGGGTTTGAAAGGGCCAGTAGACTATCTCCAGTCTTCATCCCTTGGGTAATTAGTGCTGAAAGTCCTGTTGCCATGGACTAAACACTCGATTTTTCTCTGCCTTTGTTCAGGGAGCCATTCTTACTACTATGCTGGTTTCTAGAAACTTCTCAGGTGAGTTCCCTCATTCTCCTGGGATCAGGTAGGAAAGTGCAAAGTCATGAACTTGGCCCACCTCTTGAACTCTTGCTCCAGTTTTCACTATAAAAAAAGATCTGCAAAGGCTGACTCAGTAATTTAATGGAAGGAAAATTTCACTTTTGGATTACAGGAGTATAAATTATATACATATATAGTATTAGATTGTTCTGCTCCAAGTCTGGTTTCTTTGACCTGTTAAGGATTTCTCTCTGAGGCTTGAGGATAACAGTAAAGGAATATCTATAACTTTCTTCTTCGTTTGTTTGGTTAAGTTAACATTTGCGCAAATTACTTCCTGAACAGACAATGTTTACTCAGATTTGTGCAGGTATATCTTATGTCTTTCATAACGCAGGTCAGAAGCTTTAGCTTGATTTTAGAGACTAGGAGACCCCAAACTCGGTCCTGGAAAGCCACTGTCCTGCACAGTTTAGCTCCAACCTTGATCAAACACACCTAGCTCTGAGTTTCCAGTGACCCCGAAGACATTGATTAGCTTGCTCAGATGTGTTTGATCAGTGTCGGAGCTAAAATCTGCAGGACTGCTGCCCTCCAGGACCGAGTTTTAAGGGACCCTACTCTAGAACTTTATTCTTTCTAAAAAACCAAACAAAGATAACTTGATCAGTAGAGGGTTTGAAAAAAATTCCATAGCTTCTCCCAACTCAACGCCTCTCTGTCCAATAGTGGGCCGGCAGCATACCAGCCCTGCTGCTCCCACCACAAGCACTGCCGCGCTTGCACAGGAAGGTATGTGAGAGTGCATCTCCTCACCTCGCCACCAGGGGGACCAGCGAGCCCCCTCCACAATTCTTTCAAACCCCCGCCCTCCTCCCTCTTGCTCTATCCCAATCAGCATGCATCCAATGAGAAACCTGCCTTTCTTGCCATCACTTGCATACATTATTTGGTTTACCTCAGTCTTCACGCTCATGAACAACATCTGCTTTATAGTCTTGGAGAAGTTCTCACATTTAAAAAGGATAGCTTCCATGTCTCACATACACGTCATACATTTGAGCAATGGATTAGCATGTCATTTTTTTTCAGCCATGTTTTACTATGCTTTGCTATTACTTGACCATGTAACTTTGCAACTTTAGTAGGTAGCTTTTAACCCTACTAGATATAAGAAGTATTAGAGCAGGTTCAGTTATCTTCCCACCTCTAATCTGGGTCTAATCAATGACGTAGATCGTTAAAATTAAAGATTAATTCCTACTAGGCATCTGTCAAATTCAACTTTTTAAAAAATCAGTCTTTACTGATCATTATTTGTTACAATGACTCTTATAGCAACATTTGAATTATCTTACCTTTTGTTCATCTCTCAAAAAGTCTATTTATTTACCCGTCGCCATAGATCGGCTCTTTTTATATGCGTGAACAAATCTCGTGCAACTATCCCCATTTCAGTTTACACACAGTAGCTCAAGGCAAACCAATCCAATCAATACCACAGCGCAATATTCATGTTAACGATTTGCCACCACGAGACCCACCAACCGGCTTGCATGCATTATCGTCTGCATGGAGTTAAAAACGCGAATGCCGCTGCTTCTCCTTTGATTAGACTTTCTCTTTCGCTCTTTCCTCTCGGTTAAATTGCTTCAGCCCTTTTTGACTCCCTCCTTCCCTGCTGTTCAGCTTTCTGGTGTTTTGTGCTATTGGGTTAAATAGCTTTTACTGTAAGTGAAGTCTGCTTTAGCTGAAGATACAGGACCCCGGTCCTCAGCTCGCTTCTGTGCTCTCCACCTCATGCTGAATAATGAGGTTTGGATGGGATGGAGGTTTGGGGCTTCTTAGATCTGTGTCCTGTGTCATTAACTAAAGCAGACCTGTGCAGCCTAGCCAAGCCACCATTGCCCTACCACTCTCCTTTCAACTCTTCCTCCTCCCCTCGCCAAGAGCGCAGGGGCTTAACTACATGGACGGGCAGGAGCGGGGTTGGCTTGCTGCCAGTCGTCAGACCCGATGTAGCTGGCACACGTGTCCGGTGAGAGCCAGGTGGTCTGCGGGGAAGGAGGCCCGCTGGAGGGCAGATGGACGACACTGTTCACAGTGTCTCTGAGTCAGGAGAAAATGGAGAGAACGTCTCTGGTTCCAGTTGTGTTGTCTGATCAAATTGAATTGTTACACTCTTACCAAAGTCTGGGACAGCTGTCTGTCAGAACCAGTAAATGTCAGCCAGCTGTCATCTTCAACAAGCTGTGTCTGAGCAGCTGCCGTCATGGTGAGAATACTCCATATGTACAAAATGGGCAAAGGAGAACAGTTAAGAAAAGATCAGATCCTTGCAGATCCCTCAGGATTTATGGAAAACAAGCAAGAGCTCTTCATTGTCTCGTTGCACCTGTTAATATGTACTGTTTTGGTTGTTTCAGGAGAAATAGGATCTGTTCAGAATAGCATACGACGTACTTCTCTTACTCTTTCCGCAGGATTTTCTCTATCCATAAAATCCTCCAAGGAGCTATAGAAAGCTACTCATTAGCATTCCCATTAAAGTAGTATGCAACCTGGATGCTGTCAGGAAAATGCACTCTTGGCTCACTGTTTGACAAGTAAAATGAATAAAATTATAATTTTACCTCTATGTACAGCATCCATGGCCTCAATTACCTCAGACAATCCCAATTAAAATGTATAGACCATTTTGCTAGATGTAAACAACACTGGTCCAGAAACACTTCCTGTTTCAGTTTGTGACTGTTTTCTTTATTTCACATGTAAAGAAAACATCTTAAAGATGTTGTTTAACTTTTTGATTCAGTTTTACATGTTCTGTTGGTTGTATTTTATCCCAGCTTTTGTGTAGTGTCAAAAAACTGAAACAGGAAGTGTTTCTGGACCAGTGTTGTTTACATCTTGCAAAATGGTCTATACACTCCAATTCTTTTTTTTTTCTTTAAAGTTTAAAGTTGTATTTAACCTGGAATATTCCTTTAATGTTCTTTTGAGCCATCCAATCAATGCTCTCCATCAGTTCTTGGCTTCAACTAGTACTGTAAGTGTTTATAACTCTTTATATTCTGTTATTGTTCAAGCCAGTCCTCAAGTTGAAAATGTACGATGTTAACCAATAACCAGTAATGACATTTCATCAATGTTTTTCTTCATTCTTTTTTAAGAGCTTTGACCAAGCTAAGACTTACTGACCAATAGATTATGAAGATATGGCATGTTAGTACAGTATGTCTGCTTTGTTGCCTGTTAAATCTATAATACAGTTTGTTGCTTGCACAGGTCTGATTAAAGGTGTATTGAATGTGTAATGGCTGTTTGGCGATTTTACGAGCTCAATCTGCTGCCTTAAAGACCTTTTTACTCGTTTGAAGCCTGAAGCATTATTTAATAGGGGTGTGAATATTTGCTTTGAATTTGATCAAGTTATTTTCCTTTAAAATTTGGTCACAATCATTTTGTTATGAATATTAAAGAAACAGATGTGTTTAAAATGTGTCGGGACAATTAAACGTGCAAAAGATGTAGATTGCTGATATGGATTTGGTGGATATTTATAATGGAAAATCGTTGGAAAAATGTACACAATGAATGACTTTTAAATGCCATATGCAATTATAAGCAGTCAATTAAAGTCTGGGATTGAAATTTTATTGATTAATATATTCACCCCTGTTATTTAAACTGCATAAGGATGCCACATTGCATAGTATAATTATGTTATCTTTAAATCAAAGAAGGTTACTGCACTTTGTTTGAAAATGAGTTAATTTCTTCCTCCTTATATAATTTATTTCCACTCAGCATTAATGGTGGTATGACTGCAGCGTGGCCGTCCGTCCTGGGGTCCCATATCCATCTGATTGTTCCGCAGTATAACTGAAGACTGCTGGCTCAGCTTTCCCAGTCACAGTCTGTGAATCCTATGAGACATAGTTAGATATGTGAGAGACAGTGGAATGGTAATGAGTTGAGGTCTAGCTTTATGAATCCTTCATCAGTGCATTGCATTATGGGACTCGTAATCCCGTTGGCACCGCATGGCTGACCGTATGGTGAATTGCATCCACCACCAACACTTCTCACCTCATAATTAGTGAAGCATGAAAGCAGGACTGCAATGTAAACAATGCCTGCTAACTTCCAGCTTGTCCTCTCTGCTTCTAAATGGGGTTTTGTCTTAACCTTGCCAACCTTTTCTTCTGATTTGTTTATTGAAGGTAAGGCTTTTAACAGGAATACCGATTGTGAAACCTGAGTATTTAGTTGTTGTTTTTTTTTCATGATTGAGGTTTTATAGGTCTTACACAAGTCTTTTGATTGTTCTCTGAGGGAATCTGAAGTGTATCGGAGGGCATTTCCCCTACACTGACTCAAGACCTCCCAAACATGCCCTCTGGGAAATAACAGTTGCAGTTAAAGGAAAAATCAATTGCATACATTAGCCATGATTTTCCCCTCATTATGTCTGCGGCCGCAAATGGAGACCAAATTCATTCTCTTTATCTGCTTTGAGATTGGTGAAAAATAGAATAAAATGTGCAGTTAGTTAATTTTAAAGGGGTTATATCATACTTAAAAAAATCCCTCCTCCCTCCCCTCTTATAATATTAGTAAAAATGTAATAAAAATTAATAAATAAATAAATAAAAAAACTTTTTTTCCTCACCGAAATGGCCATAAAAATTAGCCAGGTTTTTTTTATCATTAAGCAGGAATATATATATATATATATATATATATATATATTTTTTTTTTTTTTTCCCCATTTAAGAAACACTTTGTACTTTCCTGCACCTACTTATCGATTTTATATGTATTTATGAATAAAGTTTGAGGTCAGTAAAATGTTTAATGTAGTGTAATGTTTATGCAGAACCAAGGCTGCGTTTATTTGATTAGAAATACTGTAAAAACAGTTGCGAAATAATATTAAAAATGTATTTTATATTTTAATACTTTACATAAAATGTTATTTATTCCTGTGATGGCATAGCTGAATTTTCAGCAGCTATTACTTCAGTGATTTGGTGATCGACATTTTTTGTATTTCATTTTTTACATTAAGTTGTGCTGATTAATGTTTTTGTGGAAACCATAAAAAAATATTGATCAGGATTTTTTAATGAATAACTGAATAATCAGGATTCTTTGCTGTTCAAAAGAACAGCATTTATTTGAAATAGAAACCTTTTGTAACAATGTATAATTATTTACTGTAAAAAAACTAAAAACGTTTTGCTTATTTATGCATATTTCTAATTGTGACAAATAAACTGAAGTAATCTGAGAGATCTGCTAATTTTAAGTTTGAATAAACTGGTGCTTTCTCACTAGTTGCTTGCGTTGAATAGGTTTTCATAGAGTACTAAGTAGTTTAGCAAACTCTCTTAAAGATCAGAGGGAAATTTGAAAGATATGACCCTTTTAAAGTTAATTTTATCAAAATGAATTTCTCATTTGCGGTAAGTAATTTTTTTATAAGTTACATCCTTTTTACCTTCCTCTCCCAAAGCTTCATATTTCTTAAACTGATATATAAAGATCAGTGAGAAATGTCTCCTGTGGTGAAAAATGTTTCCTCCCAAACCCTGTATGCAAATGAATGATGGAATGCAAGTCAGCAGTTTGTTAAATGTTTTATATGGGATTTATTTGAAATATGTGCAGATGTGAGTTTTGTCACACACACTGTATGTAGTAATTTATATTTTTTCTGTTCCCTACAGCATGCAAAAGTTTACTCAACAAAAAGGCAGATGGAGTCAAGGTAAAATGACCCTTATAAACCGATGTTCTAGTGGAGTTTGCGATGTTTTCATCTCTCCTGCAGCCTTTTGAGGTTTCCATCTCTACTGCTATTGAACTGGTTTTAATTCACTCACCACAATTTAGTCAAAGTATATTGGTACCCTTAATCAGTAGACTGTGCTTTGCTGTCGTCTTGCGCTCTGAGGTTATTTTACAAATTAGCAGTTGTACAACCCTTGTTTTGCCTGAGCGGATCTAGTTATCAGACTGTATTATAATGATTTTGACCTCAGCTAAAAGGTACCATGAAATGTCCATTACTAATTGTCGCCCTCTGCCTGAATGATGGATAACTCTGTACAGTCTTCCTGCCATATGTTATTCATCTGATGTGTGATTTTTTTTTTTTTTTTTTTAACTGCCATCCCATCCGATCAGATCATTTCCCTAGTGATGTCATCTCTCTGAAAAGAAAGTTGTATATGTCCTCTCTATTTCAGCCCCAGACAAACAACACTAAAAACAGTGTAGTGAGCGCTGTAGTGAACGCCATGAAAGAAAGCAACACGGCCTCTTCTACACCGATGGTACCTCATCTACATTCAACACTCTTTGTAACGCATATACTCATTTGACCGTATCCCTTAATACATTTCTTTTAAAGTTGTATTTGGTGCATGTCAGAAGTTTTTGCATGTACTAAATACATCAGACCTGTAGTTTGCTGTGTAGTAGATGTCCTCCCTTATGTGTTTTTTTTTTTTGGAGTGCTCACTCATGTCCTTTCAAAGCTCGCCTGGTACACATAATTGTGGTGTTTTATAAACATATAAGGATTTGTTCTTGTCCGTAATCTGCTGGTTTATGTCTTTCTGCACTCCTCTTGTTTGCCTCTCTAGGCGTTTACAACTACAAACCAAATCTAGTCATCGGACGAGTTTGTCTTTGACATTGCACTTATTGTATATACATGGTGCCAAAAAATAACCAGTATAAGGCCGTGTGTCCACCAAAGTGTTTTTCCACGCGCCTGGCGTATGTTTTCAATTGTTTTCAATGGGAGCGCCGCGTTTTTTAAACGCCATTAGCGTAACGAGGCGCTGAGCATTTTTTTCACGCTCAAGCGCCGACCGCACAGCCTTTTTTATTGGTCGCCGAGAGTTGAAAAATGTTCAACTTTGGATAAAACGCAGCGCTCATCACCGTCACTTTTTATCCAACTGTCCAATCACAGTGGAGGAGGGGCGGGGCTAATACCACACCGACCAACTGTCACAACATTCTTTCTGCACAACGACATCAGCAGAGCTAAATGAACAAAATGGATGAAAAATACATTTTTAGAATGAAACAAATTATCTGCGAAATCAGTTTCAAGTAAACTGTGCTGCAGATTTTCTGTATCATAGCAACGAAACCTCTCACTGGAAAAAACGTTGCGCTGACAAAACGCTCTTAAGCGCCCAAAGCGCGGCATTTTCAGCAGAGTGTCCAGCGTTTTCATCTGGCTAAAACGCTTTGGTGGACACACGGTCTAAGACTAGAGTTTGACCTAAGTTACCACACAGAGTAGCATAAATGTATGGATTCCAGCAAATAACTTGGTAATTTGAGTCAGAGTGCATAAACCAGTCACAGTAAAGATGCAGTGTCCCACACATAAAGCTGTCAGTTGTTTGGCCTTGTTGGAAACTAGGAGTGTCCCCTGGAGATTTAAGAAAAGGAGAGCGGATTGACACTTCAGATGGGCCTTGTTTGCTCGACTGCCCAAATAGCTGAGCAAAGAGTATCCTGGGACCTCCAAAACAATCCATTAAGAGCACAAGTTAACCCCCGACCCCTCCCGAGGCCTTCAAAAGCCTTCACAGTGCTGATGGACAGCTAGCAACCACTGGGCTATATGAAACATACAAGACCCCAGAAACGGCAATTAGAATAATAATACGTGCTATGCAGTATTGTTCAATAGTTTAAGGATTCAAATGGGTCAGTTTGGGTGAAATGGGTAAATTTGGGGTAAATAACTGGAAATTAATCAGAAGAAACATATAGGGCATATGATCCAGAAATTGCTTGATTCAAGGCAGATTTTTAACTCGTTTATGATTCTCTATCTCTTTGGTTCTGGCAGAATGTTAGTTTAATTTGAGGAACTGCATCTTTAGATCTTTGTGACGCATGCCATTTATTTGTATAAGTGTACACGTGTGGTTGTTTTTTTTTCTGTGTGTTCATCAAACTCATCATGAACCTCAACCTTATGTTCATTTCCACATAAAAATGTCTGTTTTGATCAATATGTGAACTCAAAATCCTTGTTTTGTGTCTTAACCAAGCTCAGCTTTAAAACTATGCGTGTGTATTCCTTGAGAAGGTTGTGTTTAACCAAATCCATGTGGATGAGTCTTGCCTATTTTAATCATGATATGAAATCTTGTTAAATTTTACAGGAGCCACAAACTACAGTTGTGCACAACCCTGCCGATGGCCCCAAGGTACAATTTTCACATTCAATTCACGACAATTCACAAATTGCACTATTACAGTTCTTTCTAAATGAATCTTGGCTGATCAAAGTTTTATTAATAATAATATAATATACTACTAATGATAATTGTATAACTTTGGCAAGACTACAGGACTGTATTGTTGCTAAAAAGTTTTTTTAAAGGAGTAGTTCACTTTAAAAAAAAAACTTTTGCTGATAATTTACTCACCCCCATGTCATCCAAGATGTCCATTCAGTCGAAAAGAAATTAAGGGTTTTTGATGAAAACATTCCAGGATTTTTCTCCATATAATGCACTTCACTGGGCACCAAACGGTTCAAGGTCCAAAAGACAGTTTCAGTGCAAACTGAGTCAATCATATGGAGAAAAATCCTGGAATGTTTTCATCAAAAACCTCAATTTCTTTTCGACTGAAGAAAGAATTGCATGGACATCTTGGATGACATGGGGGGGGGATGACATAATAAATTATCAGCAAAAGTTTTTTTTTAAAAGTGAACTACTCCTTTAATGGCTGTCTGAATCAAAATCAAGTCAAATCTTGAGGTATTTTATATTTTTCTTTTATATTATATAAAATGTATCAAGAATCACTCTCTGAATCAAGAATATTGAATTGAATCGTGAGGTGCCTAAAGATTCCCACCCCTAATTCTGAAACTTATTTCAGAGACCATAACCTAATGCTATTCATGACACTTCCTTCATGAATCATGTTTTGTTTGTCTTGTGTGTTCCTTGTCTGTCTCTGTTTCTGTCCTCAGGGCTCCACAGAGAGCTGTAACACCACTGAGGAAGAGGATATGAAAGGTAGGAAAGGTACACAGATCTTCTCTCCTGTTCTCTGCATGCCTTCAGCACGGGGGAGTTCCAGCTCCCGGTGCTCATGTCAAAAGGGTAATCCCTCTCCTCTCCGAAAACTTCCGGTACTGCAGTCACAAAAAGGCCTTTAATTGAACAATATATATCTCGCATCCGTTAACAGCCATTTGAAATATGAAACATGAGGCTGTGGAGACGCATGGAGCTTTGTGATTTAAAGGCAGGGCCATGAACTCATGCTGCCGGATGGAAAGGAGGGGGATTACAGTAGAGGGCATTGAGACGGGGTTTGATATATTGTGCTTTACATTAACATGCATGATGGCATAAGCCTCTTGGTTTACAGCTAAATTGCTAATTTAGAGATACAATGTTCGAAAAGGTCCATAATGAAGGTGCACTTGACAGATTTAGCTAGAGTATTCAGCAAAGTAAATGAGGGCAAATTCATTGTGAAAAAAAAACAAAGCATTCACAAACATTCCTATCCGGATGGGATTAGATTTCTCTGAACTGATAAGTGATAGTCGTGTGAGGAAAAACAAAGACACGTTTAATTCAAATTAAACAAAATAAAATTGCAAAGTACATCTGTGAAACACAACGTCCTCAGAGAAAACTAGTCCCATCTGAGTAGGGCTTTAATAAGCATTTCTATGTCAGATCACTCACGCAATTTGTCATTACCACGCAAATGAATATGCAGCCATTGAATCCAATTTAAATATACATATATACATCTGTTTTTAAGCTGTCAGTCTCTCAGTAGGTTTCCTTGTAGATTTTTTTGTGTGTGTGTGTCCTGTGTTTTTCACCCCACTTATTTAGATGTTTGTTGATGTGCCGTGTCTTGTAAATTCATTAGCATGTTGTGAACCGGACCGTTTTTCCCGAGGGACTCTCGCCGATACAGTTTTCTGTCACGAAAAGGGCCAGGCTCGAATTCATTTCCTCTCCTTATTCACTCCGAGCCTGAACGGACAATAGCAGCTTAAAGAGCCTTATCATTAGCTCCGTCACGTCTGAGGTTAGGTGATGAGGACAGGAAATTGGCGCGGAGCCTGGAGAAACAATTTCTGAGCGGCGCTGTTGTCCAAGCACAACAAACACGACTCGGCTTCACCACACCCATAGATGCAGACCTGCGTCACACCATCCCTCATAACTCGGCTGGAAAATCCAGGATCATCACCTGTAGTCCTGTTCCCATTAACACAGTGCTGCTTTTATGGAGAACAGCTCATCTAAACGCATCCCATTCAGCGTCTTCGTGACCGTTAAGCTATTTAGTCATGATTGCGTGCCAGCGTTGGTGTGGTGTCTGTGTTAGTTTGTTTCGGCTGGTGAAGGACATGAGAGATGTGTGTGTTTTTCCTCCTGGTGTCGTGTGGTTTTGGGGCTGTGCCAGCCGAGAGTGCGCAGGGAGCGAGCAGTGACAGTGCCGTGATGAGTCAGTGCAGTGCCGGGGAAGAGCCGCCCGCTCTGGTGGCTTCGCCACTGGGCTCTCCTGCCAGTAAGTCAAGATCCTCTCGTACCACCTGGGCACCTTCAATCTCCCCCTCAAACCTTCAAGTCGAGACCTTTTTGTCCCACCCCCCCACAACTCCAGCCTTTCTGCCCTTTAGCATACAATCAAATGGGTCACTTGTTTTTCGTGTAGAACAGTATGTCACAGTTGTCTCCTTTTCTGCTCACTAATGTATTCACCCCCTGATGCATGCTACTCAACTGTACTGTTGTAAAGTGGCAGAACATGCCGTTTAGTAGCTAGATTGACCCTTTAGGTGTTCTTCTACTGATTTTTTTCCTACATTCTCCTCCCTGATTGTGATTAAAGTCTCGCACACGTCGTAAACGTTAATATGCATTTTTGCACATACACACGTTTCATTTGTCACTGTTTGATGAGAAACTACTCCATACAGTCTCTAATGTTTTGCTGACCTTAAAATAAATCTGAAATAGATTATCTAGTGAAATTATGCTTTTATTTTCTTCTATCATTATTCATAGTCCTTTATGAATTCTAATGCTTGTTTTTAATTTGAAATAATTGTATTATATTACTTCAACTCGACAAAAGACAAATCCATTTACATAAACTACTTTTCAAAAGTCTTGGGTCAGTAAGATTTATAAATTAGAAATCCGTTAATAAATTGAATGATTTCTGAAGGATCGTGTGACAGAGGATTGGAGTAATGATGCTGAAAATTCAGCTTTGCCATCTCAAAAATAAGTCGCATTTTAAAATATATAAAAAAAAATGTACTGATATGATTTTTGGTCATATATAAATGCAATAGAGTTCAAAAGGTGTAGCATGCACATCCAAAACAATAAATCTGAGTGCTGGGCAGACAGGTAGCAACAAAAGTTAACAATTAATCTGCACACCAGAAAATGCTCCTAAGCAAATTTAATAGTTATTGTTTTCTCATATATGAATGCAGCTTGGTGAGAGTTTCATGAAAAACATAAAAAAAAAAATCTTAAACCCCAATTTTAATGACCAAAACCTTTATAAACCACAGCATTTTAAAATCCAGTTGGGGGGAAAAAGCTTGTGTGCAGTTTGTGGACATAACACTGATACATTACTGTATATGCATAATATACTGTAGAATAATGCTAACAAATGGGATGCTGATAAAATTATTTTACTATTTTTAAATTAACAAAAAATTTGGAAACTGACACAAACGAGTTAAGGCTTCTGGTGAGTGGCTGACCATTAATATGAGAGGAGTAATGGTATAAGAAAACAAAAATTGAGTTGATTCTGTGTCCAAGCCAGGAAACACTGCAGCTGCAACACATCATCCACACCTGCTCTCTCTTCTTTTAACATCTGTCTTCAACAGTTTCCTCCACCCTCCCACCTGTTCCTTACTGCATAAGTGATCAGTTCATTGTCTTTTGACTTGCTCTGAACATCATAATTCCATTTAAAACTTTTCCATTCTTTTTTTATTCATCCCTTTTGTGCATTCTAACACCGTTTATGAAGTACAGCAAAATGACTATATTTTATGTGCTTTTATTTAAGGCATTAAAGGAATTGTTTACCCCAAAATGTAAATTCTATCACCATTTACTCACTTTCATGTTGTTCCAAACCCGAGTAAATACACAAGGAGAAATTAGGCAGAATGTTCATGCTGATCTTTCCATATAAAAATAAAGCTGTTGAATATACTATGGTTTTGAATATGCTATATAAGGCATATGAACCAATTTAGCTCAACATTATTATTGGTTTGAAAAAGAGCTGCATAAATATTCTCCTTTTGTATTCCGTGGGTGCAAAAAAGGATGATAGAATTTTTATTTTGTGTGATCTAAGATATGTGATGTTGTACTTCATATTCATGTGTTCATGCGTCCTCTCTCTTTCCGCATGCATCATCACTTCACTGTTGCGTGTGCCGCGTTGTGTGTTGCAGCCGTCCCCGTGCATGACGTTAAACGCTTGGCATGGAACAGTTCAGAATATGCCTCATGTCCAGAGTTAGAGCGAACTCATTCTGGCCCCTGTGCCTCAGTCCATGGGGTCGGCGGTATCACAGCGAGTGTGTCTGCAGCTCAGTGTAAGTGTGTGGGGTAGACCAGGATACATACACACACAGGTTATCAACAGGAAATCAAATTCTTCATACTAATAGAATTAGCTAGTGACATTATATCAGATGTCACAGTGCGCAGTTTGTATTGTCTTAGTCAATGTTGTGACTGATTTTTAGCGGGTAGATTTTTATTAGTTATAAATAATGTGTTAATCCGAATGCATATTATTTACACACTAAAAAGGCCTATTTATGTCGAACTCAAGCATTTAAATTAAAAATATGCATTTGTATTGTCCCCCATCATACAGTGTTAGAAAATGTGCACATTTTTATTCCCTTTTTTTTGTCTCTGTGGAAAAATAGATATTCACGCCTTGTCAGAATTATCGTAATTACAAGAATTTGAAACCCTGAAACACTTCAGTAATTCCATCATTGACTAATGCCTTAATAAAGCTAGATTAATTTGAAGAAGAAAAAATAAACAGAAGACATACAATAGATTTTACTTTTCTAGAAAAGAGTTGGATAATCATGTCTAATGTCCTACTAAATAACTTTAAATGTTTATTAAAAAGGCTTTTGGATAACGACTGATACCTGTTTTATTATAATTTTGTCTATCAATTAAAATATTAAATGGATTCTTTTGACAATAATAGAGTTGCCATAGAAATGTATAAATGCAGGAAGGTGAAAACATCTGAGTAGAACGAAAACTCGCCAACCAATAAGATACAAGCTTTTACTGCCATTTCAGATCAAGGTGAAAGCTGTTTTTTGAGTATTTTCAACACATTTTATTTGTTTAGTTTTTTTTCAGACTGATAAATTTGAGTTACGATTGTAGTTTTATGTCACCTTCACTCTTGGTGTCAGTAGGTCTCAAAGAGATATTCACCCCAAAATAAAAATTCTGTTATTAATTCCTCACCCTCATGTCGTTCCAAGCCTGTAAGACTTTTGTTCATCTTCTTAACTCAAATGAAGATCTTTTTGATGAAATCTGAGAGCTTTCTGTCACTTCATTGGCAGCTATGGAATTACAACTTTGACGCTTCAAAAAGTTCATAAAGAGATTGTAAAACCAATCCATATGAATTGAGCTGTTTAGTCCACATTTTCTGAAGATCTCAATATGATGAACAGATTTAAATTAGGCTTTTATTCACAAAATAAACATTGATCAGCCAACATGACCAGAAGCCCAACCGAACCTGCCTGATGCACTGCTCTTTATGAACTTTTTGAAGCGTCAAAGTGGTAGTTGTGTGGTTGCCAAAATAGGTGCAGAAAGCTCTCAGATTTCATAAAAAAGACCTGAATTTGTGTTCTGAAGAACAACTAAAGTCATACGGGTTTGGAATGACATGAGAGCAAATAATGAGAGAATTTTCATTTTTGGGTGGACGATCTCTTTAATATAACATTTTTGCAGGTATCTGCAGTGTGAGCAGGTTGTGCTTATTAACTTTCCTTTGTTGTTGTTTTTTTCATCATTTCATTTCCTCTCCCTCCATCATCCCTCATCTTTCACCCGTTCTGTTCGAGCAGCTCGTAAGCAGGAGATTATAAAGATCACGGAGCAGTTGATCGAAGCTGTCAACAATGGAGACTTTGAAGCATACACGTAAGTACAGCCCACCTGCCTGCAACCCTTTTGTAACAAAGATACTTTGAAAATTGTAGGTCATTGTATGCATTTAAGGCTTTAAGTTGCATTTTATATTAAAAATGTACAAACATGCCTATAAAATATTGGTCTGAAAGATCTGAATTCCCAGGCTGATTTGGAGTCTGTGAACAGATGCTCCTGTTATTGTTGAGAGAATATTGTATCTAGCCATGAAATGCTGGTGATATCCAGTTGTATCCGGACTCCAATTAAATTGCTTCACTGTAAACATTCTTATGTACCACAGAAGAATCTGTGACCCTGGTCTGACCTCTTTTGAGCCTGAAGCTTTGGGGAACCTGGTCGAGGGGATGGACTTCCACAAGTTTTACTTTGAGCACTGTGAGTCATGTCTAAATACAAGTTTAGTTTGGAGTCATATAGGTGACGCCATATGACATTTCGTCGAAATACTGCGCACATGGCACCCTTTAGCGTCAGTATAACACCCAGAACCCAAGGCGCCGCCGTCGGCATAGCATCAATATGAGACGCAGACCCTACCCCAGACCTAAACCTACCCGTAACAGTGCGTGTTATATTGACGCTAAAGGGTGCCATGTGCGTATTATTTCGACGAAATGTCATATGGTGTCATCTAGCTAAAGGGATGAGAATAAATGTGTTGCAAAAATCATAACTGACCATAACTGAATGTGTTTGACTCCTACAGTGTTGAGTAAGAATAACAAGCCTGTGCACACCACTATTCTCAATCCTCACGTTCATCTCATCGGAGAGGACGCTGCCTGCATTGCTTACATCCGGCTGACGCAGTACATCGACAGCCAGGGCCGCCCGCGTAGCTGCCAGTCGGAGGAGACGCGTGTGTGGCACCGCCGTGAAAGCAAGTGGCTTAACGTCCACTTCCACTGCTCAGGGGCACCAGCCGCCCCCTTACAGTGAACTGCACAGGACAGGTAACACCACATTCGCACTAAAAAAAAAATCCTCTGAAGGTGCAGTCACATTTATAATTCTGCAATTATTTGTGGAAAAAAATCAAGTGTCATTTTTGTCATTTTGCCCCCTGAAATTTAGCTAATGTGAAAAATGTGCCTGATTAAAGTGATAGTTCACCCAAACAAATTTTTCTTTTTTTTTTTATATATAATTTACTCACCCCTATGTTGTACCAAACCTTTATGACGTTCTTTCTTTTGTTGAACACAAAATACAATATTTTGAAGAATGTTGGTAATCAGCACCCATTTAGTATATTTTTTTTCTACTATGGAAGTCAGTGGTTCCCGTCAACTGTCTGATTACCAACATACTTCAAAACATCTGTTTTGTGTTTAAGAAACTCATAAAGGTTGGGAACAATTTGAGGGAGTTAAATGAAAAAATGTATAACTTGGGAAAGCAATCCCTTGAAGGAAGTAAAATACTATGCATAAGACTGATGATGCACATTTCCATTCACAGAAAGCTTTATTTCTTTCAGTTTACCTGGATTCTCGAGATAATGGGAATGTTTCTTCTTTGTGGCTGGACGGGCATGTGAAGGCCAGCTGGATGACAGCTCTTAAAGTTACAGACACACCAGTGAGGAACTCTGACAACATCCAGTTCAACTGTCAACACCACATATCCTGTCCAATCTTTGACCAATGGGAGCTGGCCGCGGCCGTGGCCCCGCCCAAGGGACGGTGCATGTATCTGACGCCCACATGGGGGTGCTGTTTTGTCCTTTTCCCACGGAACCATCTTCTTTTTTTTGCCCGTTAAAGATGTTCAGAAGGTGTTGTAAGTACTGGTCTATGAATTCATAAATATACTGTACATTGTAAAAATCACTAGCTGAACCAGAAGCTACAATCAAGTTTGAAAAAGCATTTATGTAAGTAAACCAGGATGTGAGTTGGCTGGGTGGGGGGCTGAACTTAAAAAAAAAAAAAAAAAAAAAAAAAACAATTCACAAAATGGACTAGCGCCCCAAAAGCTTTTAAAGTTTACAGGTTTGTCATCACAATCATTCTTGTATACTTTGCAGATTTTTGGAAACAAAACTATATGAAAAATTAAGGGAAGGTGTTGTCTAATCCGAGAGCAGAAGTTCTTCATATCAAAAAAGAACCAAAGTGTAGTTTTTAGTCTTTTTAAGGAGTGTTTCTGTTCGGTGTTGGCTTTTTATGTAATTTGGGTCTGAGAGAAGGTTTGTGCGACCCGGGTTTTAGTAATCTTTTGTGTTAATGTGGAACTCTTATTTGATTTTCTTCTTTTTTTTTTTTTTTGTCTTGGACTGTAACAAGTATTTTATGTTCAGTTAGAATTTTTAAGACTGTTTTATTTTTTAAGTTAATCTAAATAAACATGTAAAGATATACAGATATATTTAAAGGAGGTATGAACTCTCACCATCCAGGTTTAGGGAAGGATGTCGTCGTTCCTGATCACGCTCGTGTGGGTGCGTGTGCGATTGGAACTTGTATAAATTGAATCCTCCATTTAGATTTAATATGACGAAAGCCCAAGTGAACAGCACACAGCTAAACGCTGACCAGTAGATTTGCCCTTCCTGTTATTAGCGCCGTAGACAAACCACTGCCTTTATACACACAGGCAGGATGTACTGTGATAGACATGAACTTCATTCCTATTTCCCAAACTCGTCAGGTTTGAGTTCAAAGGAGGACTAGTCATTTTTACAAACCGCATCATGATGAAAGTAGCTTTAGTATTCGACTCGCCATCCCTTCTTCCACCACTCGGCTGCATTATACACGTAGTTGTTTTAGTAATGTTGGACTGTCTAACTCACCCTGTCCTCAGTGTTGTCATGTCGTTGATGGGGGTGTACGTGCTCTGTAAATACATGCCATTCAGTTCATCCCATCACAAGGAGCGGGTGAGGAAAAAACCAGTTGCCACAGTTCCGTTGTTTAAAATCACAGTTTTAATGTTTGTACAATTGAAATTCACAGCAGTTTGTTAGATTTCACCACAAATTATATTACGCAGGCTTTATGGCACTGACTATTTAAACTCAGTTTTAGTGTTACTGTTACTTAACTTAGAAGTGAGGGTTTGGTTTTTTGCAAGTGATTAATCTGTTGAGTCTGTAGTTGCACGGATGCTTTTCATCACTGCTACGGTTTTGTCTTTAGATAGATTTTAGTATAGTTTCGTTTGACGCAATATATTCCGTGTGGGGAAAAAAACAGCAACAAGCAAAACCACGAGTTCACCCTGTCTCCTTGAAACACATCAGTCTTTTGTAACGGTCTGTAAATACATGTAGTGTTGGCACACCTCATTGTGTGCTGGGCTTTGTGACATATCAGGACTGTACCTCCGCACGTGTGTGTGTGTGTGTGGGCGCGCGTTTATCACCTAAATGACAATGTCTTTTAAGTAAGTAAGTAGTGATGCTGTCAGATTGTATGTGATGCTGTTTTCACGTCCGCTTTGTGTCTCGCGCTTATTTCTTGCATTTTTTTTATTGCTATTTTTTGTCATTTTTCCTTTGTTTGTGCTATGGGGAACTGCTGCCTTGCCTGGCCAAACTAGATGTACGCTTTTTATTCTTTTCGTTTTTATTTAAACCCATCCAAGAGTTCCTTTTACGTGGTCGACATCTTCAGCTCCATGAAAATGAAAGGGACTGGTAGATTTAGCGAAATAAATCCCCAACCCCTGAAAGCTCAGTCAGGCAGATGTATGAGTCTTCTGGCCCACCCGTCCTATGACAGGAGAAATCAAACACGCAGTTTAAATAAACCAGAGAATATGCATGTGTACTTTTCTTGGACAATTTTTTTGTTTTTAACTGTCTGTGTTTACTTAATAAAAAAGGGAAAAAAAATTCTCATAGTATTTGCATCTCGACATGAAAATCACTCCATTGGGAATTATAAGTGATGTACCATATTAAATATGAAAAAAAAATGTAGAAAATAGTGAAAAATATATAAAACAAAAGCCTCTGCTTGGTATGCTCCCCTCATTCTAAGTAAATCTATTGCATTGTAATGGTATACTATTGGGCTTCGTATATACTCGGAGTTTAAACATGGATGCTGGATTTTTGCATGATCATACATTTAATAAAACCATGAAATGACAACTATCAAGTGTTTGTCTGAATGTTAGTAGGTCTTTATCATAGCTTTGTTATTATTGAAACTTGATCTGGAAAGTATTTAATAAAAAGCATTTCTGCAGCTGATTCTGTGCTTTTTTTGTGCAATGTAAAAATAAACATACTGTATTTGCGTCACTGGTCTTATTTTGAAAGATTCATTCATGCACATTCTTACTAAACTTATAAACTTCTCAGGCCTCATGGAACATAAAGGTGCATTTTGTAGTTTACAGAACTAGTTTACGTGCATTACAGAACAGAGCAAGGCGACCATTTGAGCTTCTAAACCTTAAATTTTTTTTTTTTTTTTTTTTTAAATGAGCGATCGTTTCACTTGATAAGACCATTATTCATCGTCTGGAATCGTTTAAAGCCCTTTGAACAGTTTTC